ACAACATTGCATACCCGGGAGAGAGTTCTAAACAGACGCCACGATATCTCTAAATATTACGCTCGCGTGTGGAATAATATTTATGCAAGGACCTGCATTAAACCACGTCTTGTCAGTTTGTTTCCTTTCTCAAAACCCACAAGAATGGCAAACGGATACAGGTATTGCCAGATGCATTAAATATCAATGCTACTGTAATAAATATATAATTGTTTTAACTTTGCGAGTATCGGCGAGTTAAGTGCTATCAGCTGAAATTTAATTTTTACGTATTTGTTCCGCGTTACTTCGGGCACTTTTTCTGTTTAGTTTTTAAATAAAAACAATTATTTATGTTTTGGAGTTATTGATCTCGCTCACGCTGAGTGAAATCTTTTAAAAATCTCCAAAAACCGTGGCCGGTCGTAACCGCCGCGCGCGCTGAATCGTTATGAAAAAATTGCGCGCGCTGTACGTTACATGGAGAAGAAAGGCCCGGCCTAACAACAGTAGTAACAATAATAATAACAACAACAACAATAATAATAATAATAGACTTTCCGGCACACAATTAAAATACTATCTCTTCTTCCGTAATATGGACGAGAAAGTAAAAAGTATGACAGCTTGAACAATTTCCAATCATTTTTTTATAAAACTTTAATTTTCACAATGTTTTGCAACACGTATACAAAGAAATGTAAGGAATGTTACATTAAAGTACAAAAACATTACTCTTACTAATAAAATTACTTCATTGCTTAACACCCATGCATAAGGAAATTTCACCGCAAATAAGGTTTACACAGAAATGAAACGGTGTAAGTTAAACTATAAAAGAAATAACCATCACCAAAAATACTTTATTACAAACAAAACAAAACATAAAACACAAGAATTAAGTTTAGAAATTTATAGGAGAAGTTAGTTTGAACAAAATTCTCACTTTGTCTCAACCACACATTTCAAATAAATAATATGAAATGGGATACATGAAACAAACAACAGCAAAATAAATTTAAAACAAAATTAACAAGTATTATAACACACAAAATAATCATATATCAAAAAATATTATATTTGCCCTATTACAACTTGAAAAGTATTCTCTCAACAAAAGAAACCAGTACTGACATTCAGCTGTCTTCACACACAGAAATTGTAACATTAGCTTCATGAACCCAACATTATTGCATTCCACTACAAGGACAGAAATTCTAAAAATTATTCTGCAATTTAGAAGACTTCAACTTTCTGCATATTTTATGATCCAACAACACACAACACTATTTGGAAATAGCTTTTGTGAATCACTACATTACTTATGCCTATGCAATTCCTACACTGAACATGCTATCATGCTGTGCCCGTCATATTCCAACACCCTCAGAAATTACATGTTTATAACAAATAATTGCAGATTCAAAATGGGTCCAAAACTGTCAATTTGATACTTTAATTTAGTTACTTCATATGTTGAATTAATTTATTCAATTGAACTTCCATGTATCCTACATGCAACTTGTATTTGAAAGTAAAAACAACAACGAAATTTTCTGGTAATTTCTGTCAAACGTAAGCAAAGAAGTATTAAAATAGTTTCATTTAAAAACAATAAAAGGCAATTAAACACTCTATTTAATGCTGGGTACAAACATTTGGGAAACTGTTATTGACTTATTGATTATTTTGTTTCCAGGCATGTCAATGTCATTGGTCCCGGAAGTGTGGTGCATGTTTAATCGCGGGAGGAAGAGGTGATCATCCCTTACTGGACAGCAAAATCCAGCAACGACATAGTTGTCGACTCGCGGGGTTTCGCCATCGGCGGGGCACCCCCCCTCCCAGTCAAGACACGTTTTAAGCTAGCTCCCGACTGGTTTCAGGCATGTGAGGTAGTTTAGAGAATGCAAGTGTGTGTAAGGAGTGAGGGTAGGATAAGGATAAGGATGAGAAATCTCCAGGCAGCGGCTGATTTCGACCCAGCTAGCTAGTGTTGAAAATACTGTCACTGTTAGCACTCAAACCCTAACACCTCCCGTTCAGAGGCACTACAGTGACCAGTTGATGCCCTTAGCCTCCAGCCATTGGAACTTTGTAAATTAGGGAGTTTTTGTAGAAATTTTTTTTTGAAAATGATAATTAACACATGAATTACACACAAGACATAATTGACAAATGACAAGTTATTTCATTTACTGTTTTATCTCTATTTTACTAACAGGTTTTTACTGTTTTTTACGCTCGCAAGCAGCAAACAGCACACCTAAGATTACGCAAAACTTTCATATTTGCTTGACACTGTCAGACATGATACTGAAGGACTCTAATGTACTGAGTGCATGATTGACTTCATCTACATTCAGTTGTTTTTGTGGTGACAAAGACTTCAATGTAATTTTTAAACAGGAATAAACAGAAGTGGAATAATAAAATAATTATAAATTGAGACATTGTTGGTTTGTGCAATTGAGTGCTTCCTGTACATAAAATGGGTTACTCTAATTTGCTACCTCGAAGTGCCAACGCAAAACAATTTATACAATAATTATTACTGAAAACAATTCATTTAAAACCTATATTCAAAAAATAGCAAGTACTCAATGTAATAAGTAAAACAAACATTCATTTGAAGAATGTTTTAGAAAAGATGATGTGTGTGGCCAAACAACGCAGAAACACTTCAACAAATCATTAAAATCCATATTCAGGAGTCGGATGTTTTTCTATAAACAATTAAGAAAATGTGAAGATCTTTATTTTCTATTGTCGCACAATGATCTCATACAGCTGACTCTCATGCTATTCTTGGTAAGTCATTTGTAACAATGTGTGTAAATTATTGGAAATAAACAAATCCAAAACAAATTAATACTGAACAAAATGACCTAACACTGATCTAAAATATATATTTCGATTACAATTTGATGATGACCCTATTTGCCAGATATGGAAAGTGAGGAAGCCTTCCGCTGTAGACATTCAATATTTATTTCACACTTACACTAAAAAAATAAATTGTAAACAATAAACTAAAATATTTATGTGATTACCATAATAAGCGTAATGTGAATTCTACAGGAATGCCATACAGGACCGCTAATTTTTGAAAACTGTCCATTCATTATTTAGTGTTCTTTCAAAACCTTTAGAAATGAAACCAATATCATCAAAGATTGTACTAATACAAATTTGCAAACCACATTCTTGAAGTGATGTGAGAAAAAATTCTGGATTTGCACCATCTGGGCTATAATGTACATACAACAAACCAATTTCACGATATGGGGCAATTTGTCACTCAAAGTTTATCAAATATTTTTTTTACTAATCACAGAATACGTTGTTCATGCAAACTACAATAAATCCTTCATTTGCAATACAACTGATCTAAACTTCATTCTCATTTTGGAGGCAAATGGTAATATAATGACTTAAAAGCAGGAGGAGCAGCAATTATGTTTAGCTCTGTCAATAAGGCTGCTAACTACTGACTGACCAGATGAGATTGAAAGTCAGATAAGAGATATTTCCTAACAATCTCATCTCACACAATCAGTTCAGGTTCTAGGCTCTCTTATTCGGCCTACTAAGAAAAGATGATGAAAATCTTCTGATGTTCATACCATTCATTTCCATTATCAAAACTTGGTTACAGAGGAGCATTACCTCCAATAACTTCATTAGCATCTCACTGGCATGGGATGATTTAACCATAAACAATTGTACTTTGCAGAAAAAGACAGAAATATAAGTAGTCTTGAAGAGACTACTGAATATGAAAAATTTCTTCCATTAACTTAAAGAATACTATCTTATAATAACTTAATGAATATATAAGTATAATCAGTAAATCATGTTTTGATCTTATTTGAGATAAAGAACAGTATCATAATTATAATTTGTATTTTTTTAAGAACCAGTTGTTTTCCCAACAATTAGCCCAAATATTTTTTCAAACTATTCTTTTAATTACAGTTATACAGCAAATTCTAGTTGTTAATGACTCAATGTCAGTATCAAGAGTGAAACTAACTTTTGCTCTTAAAATAAAAAGTATTTAAGTACAAAGACTAATTATAATAAACATCATATCACCTATTCTGAAGTTGAAATAGGCAACACAGAACCACAAATAAATAAACAAATCAACATTATTACTTAATTTGATATTTTTTTCAAAAATCCAGTAAATTTCATTGATATTTCTCTTTATTTTGTAACTAAAAATTTTTTTAAGCATTCCTTTAGATAAGTAAAAATCTTAGTTCATTTTTTGGTAAACCTGTGGTTTATTTATTTGCATTTCCTTTTTAAAATTTTCCTGAATCAGAATCATTTAAGTACAGTACATAATTACACACAAAACAGAATATATTATAAAAATGACACACATATTATGGAAACAAAATCAATAATTTGAAAAATGGTCTAGAATACCTCAATACTACTACTACTACTAATAATAATAATCATAATAATAATAACAACAATAATAAATATAATAATTAGGTGGATAGTCTCCCTCTTTGCAACTGCTAGCGAGTGGTTCGAGTAATGTTAGGACTGCACTATCAATATATCTGTTCAGAAGAGCAAACATTCAATACAGACAGAAGACTTCCAGGAATCAGGATTAGTACCTTCACTGACAAGACAGCAATAGGGGGGAAAATTAACAAGGCAGTTCTTCAATCTCATAATATTGAAAAATTTGAAGCAGGGAAGCTCAAGAAATCAGAGCTGGGTGAAAATTGAAAGAAATTTGAGGTTTAACAAATGTCGATATTGACAATGCTTTCATAACATTTCTGAAGAGTTGAGTAATTCAATTTAATGAGAGTCTGAAGAATTTGGAACTGCTCACAAAGTTGATTACAGAACAAAAATTAATTCTGTTTCAGATATGCAACTTTGTCCACAAACTTTCTAAATAAGATCAGTAAAATAGGATAAATTGCTTCTTCCACTAGAACGATTGCCTATCTTAAATCTAGCAATTGATTCTATTGAAAGCCAGTATGAACTAAGGCTAAAAATAAAGTGTAATAGTAATAATAATAATAGTAATAATAATAGTAATAATAATAGTAATAATAATAGTAATAATAATAATAATAATAATAATAATAATAATAATAATAATAATAATAATAATAATAATAAAACTATTTAGCTATAAATGCTCCTTTCAGGGTAGCTTGTAACCAATTCTTGTTAAGGATTTAATTAAGAAATCTTATTAAAACTGATTCTATGACAACACTTCCAACTGACAAAGTTATTGTTAAGAACTCTTTAAAGTGCCATTTTCAACTATTTTCCAGGTAAACTAGTGAATACCAATTTTGTTGATAAGTAATGTTATTTAGATATAAATACACTACACTCAATGTTCACAGTACAAACACATGTACATATACACTACAAATGTTTTGAAGATAATGCAGTAAAAGTTTTCAAGATGTATCATGAAATCAAGCATAGAAAAACAAATAGAAATACAATAAAAATATCCAGGAGTCTGTTGCCATCAAGTGGTGCACAAATCTACTTGCACAGCTAAACTATGCACTGTAAGTTCACAGGAACAGTAAAAAATACATTGTACTGCTGCACAAGCTCACCAGAATATTCTGGTCTTTATGAATTGTTTTTTGTGCAATTAATTAGCTATCTCAACTACCTCAACACAAACGTTGTTAGGTACTGCCTTTGTAAAAATCCTGAACCTTGCAAAGATATTGTCTTCTTTGGGATTCTGAAAACATTCGTAACTTCATGATTGAAGATCCATGACAACATATATTCAATAGTTTTTGTCCAGCAACACTGAACATTTATTCAGTGATATTGAACTATGGAACAAAGTTGCACTCACAGTTGCTCCAGTTCCTGCAACAAAACATGGATTTCATTCACATATAAAACAAAGTATATGTACAAACATTCTATTCAAAAGAAGAAAAATAGACATTCTTAGGTTCAGTGAAATATTTATTCCACATACACAATCCTAACAGATAACTGTATTTCTGCTTCTTTGTTCTAATAAGAGTCTCAACACAGAATCCAAAAGTTCTACTTTCTATAAAATCAATAAATTGATACCTCTATAAATATTAACTTTTTTCCATTTATCAATCATTAAGACTAAAAGATAAGACTTTAATTGTCCATTGCGTAGCAGAAAAATAATGTTGAACTACACAAATGAAAATATTTAAAAGCAAAGTGTTTCCTGAAAACCATTCAACCACCTATTCATAGTTTCCAATAATTTTTAATCATCATAAATTTGGATAATACATTATTTATTTATAGTTGATTCAGGGGAAAATATGGGTAAAGAAATGCGTTTCAATTCAGAGTGAACATCCTTAATGTTAAAACTATCTTCACCAAATGTATGATGTGATATATGAATGTGTGATCAAATGTAAATAATAGAATGTATATGGCATTTTGGATTAAATCAAGATTTGAGCTTTTGACCTTTATGAAGAGGGAGTAGCTCTGAGCATCTTCATAACAATTTCAAGGACAGGTAGCAAATAGCAGTGATAATTCACTCGTATGTTATGACTTATGACTTACATGTAAAATTGTTAGTTTCACATAGCAATTCTCAGTGAAACAAGCAATGTTCTATATTATCATCAAACTATCATCAATATCATCACCACATACAAGGTTCAGGCCTTTTGGATCTGCTCTGATCATGTACAGAAATTCACATTCCTGTATTTTAGGTGTATGCTCTCTTGATCTCAATCCAAATATCCTCAAAGAAAAGAAAAATTTATCAACAGTATTTTCTCAATCTCAGATATCCATCTGTTTGGCAGCTTGAATTAGATACAATTTGAGGAACTGCTGCAATAGCAGTCTGTACTCAATGGTCAGTGGCTGCTGGGTTGCTTTGAGGCAGTTGATTCTCAGTACCTGAAGTTTTTTGTGCTTCTAACTTAGCATTGATTGAAGAAGAGCAAAAATTCAAATTGTGAAATCAGCCATGAAATGCAATCAATTTGTATTGAAATTTCATTAAATGTTCAATTTCTTTCTGAAGTTTTATTAGAACATGTTTTATATTGGTTTAATCAAATATAAATTCAAATTCAAACATTAATTGTAAACACATTTATCTAAAATAATATGCAAAATACAATACATTGGTAACACACACACACAACACTCACATTTCTTGCACATTATAAAGGAAAACAGATTTAATTTGAATATTTTCCCACAGTTATAGAACAACGAGTATTTTTAAAAATTCACACACCATTACATGTTATTAACTTCAAAATGAGCACACTGGTGAATTCCATTTTCTCTTTCATTCTTGCAAAATTCAACAAAAAAGTCAAGAAAGTCTTCGTATCATCGTAGCGACATCTATTTGTGTCCAAATTCTCCAATCAATCTAGTCGAACTAGAGGTCCAGACGGTTTGAAACGGACATTTTGAATTGGTAGGGGGGGGGGACTTTACATGAAGCCTTAATATTTTCCAAAATGGATCCATTTTCTTTTTTATTAAACTTCGTTCACGGAAAACATAAAAGACGCTTAAGAGCATGGTGCAAGTCTCATTTTCGTTGAAATTCCCTGATTTTTCGAAAATTGCAAATTGCATTTTTTGTGTCAAACAAGGCCATGTACAATTTTTTCGAAAATATTACTAGTTTTTATGTAATTACGTTTTTTAAATGTTTTATGTAATTACGTTTTTTAAATGTTTTACGCAATTGACGTTTTTACGAGTAATTCTCCGTTAACATTTTTATTTTACGTATAGTGTTCAGTCTCGTTGCAGTTGTCAAGAGGACCGCCAGGTAGCATCTCCGCGAACGCGCCTCCTACCTTGCGCTCATGCGTCACTACTTAGGAGGCCAGATTGAAATTGAGAAGAAATTAGGACAGGGGTAGGGCTTAGGACATTTTACAAGGGTTGGACTAGCACTTGCAAACTCGTTTTTGTTGGAACAAATTTCACTTGAGATAGTCCAGGAATCGAACCCAGACTTTCTTGGTGAAAGGCGAGCGACTTCGCTCTGAGCCACGAGATGACACGCACTTTTCGTTGTACTTTTGCGTGAAATATAAGCTATTTTTAAACAATTATTTTCTCAAAAACATTGCTTTAATTTTTTTCTCGGCCAAATATGCTTATAAAAATGGCGCAGGTCCCAGTTTTGTTGAACTCTTTATTTTCTAAAATTGAAAAAGTTAATTTTTTTCTACAAGTTAAATTGCCTTGTAGGAAATATAAAGCAAGAGAGAACTAGAAAAGATGTTGAGACTGACTAAACTCGCTATTTTATCGATCTTATCGTTTGGAATTCTCGGAGGGGAGCGCGCTCATTTGCCTGTGAAATCTTTACCTAGGTCCCTGTCAAGGATCGGTTCCACTCATTCTAATCTGTTTTTTATCGTCAAATACATTTAGAAAAGGGGTATCGTACTATGGCGATAAGTGCTATCTGTGCAGGTCTTCTTGAGCTCTGGAATCCCCAAACCCTTTCTCCTGTAGCATTACGAATACAGACAGCAATTAGCGTTTTTGGCAAGAATCGATAACGAAATATTCGCTCACATGTAATAAAATCCAGTGTTATCTACCTTATCGGCGAAGCGTGCTCTGGTCGCAGTTTGCTGGGTTTTCCGGCGTTTCCCTTGTGAGCACCACCAAGAACTCTCTTACAACGGAGTAAATAATAAAATACAGTATTTTAATCATTAAAATTATCTTAGACCAATTTTTAAACAATTATATACCATCCGTTAGTCGCGCAATTCTAATTGCGAAACTACGCAGTTTTTGCAACATGCCAACACGCAAAGTGCTGGAATTTCAATAAGTTTTCGTCGGAGAGCATGCCATACTAGTTTTAAGTATAGTTATAGAGGAATAAATAATGTGTTTAAGATGTTAAATAGAAACGCTTGAGCGATAAACGATGTCGAGATCTGGTGACTCCATCATGTGTTGCCTTTGTCCAACGATCCGGAGGTCTCACCTCAATAACGGACTTACCCGTTATCGAGAACGAAAGATACCGACACTGAGCCGAAACTAGCATCTCGGACATAGCGATCTCGGAGTGCTGGTCCCGTCGCCGAGAACGATAAGATATTTGCGCCCGACTCTGGCGTACAATGTACTGTGCTTTGGTGACCTCAAAACATAGTTACATATCAAAATACAGTAGAGGAAACCTGAATATTGCACATCTCCGCGCATTACGCCCTGAGGAAGGTCGCAGAATGGCGACCGAAACGTCGGCACCTTCACCATGGACGCGGCGTCACCCGGACAGCCTGGTAAATATAAACTATAATTTACTTAAATAACTCTGAACAAAATCCTGATTTTCGTGACATTTAATTTTGAACTGACAAAATGTAAACTCATTAATAAAATCTTTCATCCAGATTGGTTTCTCTTTACTCGATCTTCCCGTGTCCGTACATCATCGAGTGCAGGAGAACTCCTTACATCTGGAATCTTCGATGGTGTTAAATGCTCACCACAAACGTGAGCATCTATGACTAGTGCAAGTAGTTGTCAGCTGCTCCATTCCGGCAGCATTTGCCTGTTAAGGTCCTAGATCTCTTTCAGCAAATTATTGAAGGAATGCAGCGTTCCGTTCATACCGATTACCTTCTGATGTTTATTTTTATTATTATTGTTTGAGTTATCAGTACTAGGTCTTGAGTTTAGACGACTGTCTCTGCATATCTCTTTCCTCCCTTCTTCTCCCTGTCGCGGTCACACATTTCTTCGTGGAGATGTTCCTTTCTGCAGTTACTAAGTTCACAAAGTTTTGAGCGTATTTTTCGGTCAAACATGAGTTCTGCAGGTGCAATTCCGGTAGTTGAATGTAGTGTTTCACGATAATCCAATACGTAAGAACATACTTCGTCCTACCAGAGTAAACCTTCAGCTTGGACAAAGCGAAGTCTCTTCAAGATGAATGTTTTGTCTTTTTATTTCTCTATTTGCTAGTGTCCAAAGCGATGTCGTGAATCGATGTTCTGCTCCATATCCACGGAGAAACGTGACAAACTCCCCGTTTTTTAATGTCCCAGCGTTGTAACTAATTAGAACTTCAGGGATTCCAAAACATGCGGAGACCACTAGAACTCTATGAACAAGATCCTGTGTTGCCGTCGTCCGGGTAATTTCTACCTCGTAATAACAACTGTAATAGTACATAATAACTAATAATATCCTGTGGGTAGCGGTCCTTGGTAATCAATGGAAATTTGTTGCCACGTTTTTTATGGTAGCTTAGTTCTTGTCATTGGCTCTGGAGGACTTGGGGGCGAGGTAATCTGACACCCGTGGCAATCTTTCACGCATTTTCAGCTTGTCTCGCCCCATTTCACCCACTTGTCCTTCATCTGATATTTGCAATATGTTTTCTTGCAGGGTCTTCACATGAGTATGTACTTCACTTCCGACATTCAAGTGTGTCTCCATACATTTTCGCAACTGTTGCAATTCTGAATCATGTCTTTTGGCATCTTCGAGTTCATCCATTTACCAATGCTTCATCACTAAAGCCTCTACTATTCCACGTACTTGTCCTTCGAAGAAGGAAGTCTCTTGAACTTGTGTCCCCAATAATCTTGGCAAGGGTTATGCTATAATAGATTTCCCTTAAATGTATAAAACTTTAAACTCGTGTAATTGTGAAACTTCTCACAAGCCCAAATCAAAGCCAAGGCTTCCTTTTCGGTTAGAGAGTACCTCCTTCAAATTACAATAGGCCCTGCTTTTTGTAATTGAACAAGCACTTCGCTACCGGACTTCCTTCTGCGATCACTTTGGTTTCTGCATTCTTGTAAAATTCCAAAACTACTGACCGAATCACACACTCC